TCTCTGGCTGCCAGCTTGTTCATGTCGCCCCAGCAAGAGCACGAACTGCTCTTTCTTCGAGCGGCCCATCTGGCGAGCCCACTGCAGTCTCCCGCCATGTGCAGCAGCAACACACTGGCGTTCGCACCAAACCTATCAGCACGCAGGTCCAGCTCAGCAAAGCAGCGAAGCAGCTCAGCTCTGTGTTTGAAAGGGTTGTGCGGCTCAGAGGCGAAGTACAGCAGTTCGAAGATTAATCAAAACAGTTGGTTCATCAACCTTCTTAGGCACTGCCAAGCTTGACAGGCGATGTCGGCTCAAGCGGCGGATCAGCTGAAAATGCAGTTCTGCGTGAGTTGGTCAGCGTTCGTGATCGTGTTCAGCATCAAGCGCATCCCGAAGCTCCTGCTCCTGGCGGCCCTCCTGCTACTGGTACGCGGACCCCTGAAGATGGACCAGCTGTCGAGAAGCCTGTCGCCATTCACGGACCTGGTTCGGACATCGATTCGGACGACCCCATGGACGACGATCTCTGGGCGGAGTCGGACCGCGTCGTTCGGGTCACGGCGCGGCTACTCGTCCAGAAGCACGCGTCGGGGGAGCCCTTCGTTCGTTTCCTGGAACAGAGCTTTCTGTTGGGTCTGTCTCTGGAGCAGCGTCGTGGGCTTATGCTATCTGCTGCCGGCATCCATCAAGAGAGACCGTGGCGAGTCCATCGGCTGGGACACTCGCGAGAAGAAGCTCAAGCAGGACTCGCCGTCTGGGGATTGCTACAGCCTGTAATAAGCAGTCCAAGCTTTGGTCTGCAAATATCACGACATGGTTCATTATTGAACGCGTGCAAGCATGCCACTTTGATTGTATAGCTGTTCAGGAGACTCATTTGATGCGTGCTCAGGGCTATTCTCGTGATGGCCAGCTTCGTAGATCGCGATAGACGACTTCTCCCTCCCCATGGGCTCGCAGAAGTATTGGAGATATGGCTGGAGGTCTCGCTATCGTGGTTCCGAACATATCGAGCTCTCTGGAGTCCAAGGATACGACGTCATGTTATGCCCTGGGCGCGCCACGGCGCATCACGTTGGGGGCATGATCCGCGGTGGCCTCGTCTTCATCAACATCTCGATTCAGCACTAGTCTTGGCTCGGAGCTTACAAGTAGGGATCCTGTATGAAGCGGGCTCTTTCCTCTAGCAAGTTGGGCCCCTCTCTGTCGCGGCTGCGGATTTTCAGATCGAGCCGAAGCAGCTCATCTCAAGTGGATGCCCAGCTGCTCTTGACCCGAGGGTTTTTGATCCAGATCGAGGCGCGTGCAGGCCAGCCAACAGTGCTATGTATTATTTTGTTGCTAGTTTTCGGCTCGTGCGCGCGCGCGACTTGCAGGTGCGCGCCCACGCCCCATCGGCCCTGCATTATCCATTTTTAAAATCGAGATCGAGGCTCTGGCCGCAGACGCCAGTGTCCCGGCTGTACAGGTGCCTCGACGCGTTCCTGCTGCAGTGCCTTGTTGCTGTTCCCCTCCGCTCTCTGCTGACAAGTGGTGCGTGCTCAGCATGGGCGTTGGCGCTGCTGCTTCAGCGGGCGTGGGTTGGAAGCAATCTCTACGCGCGCGTGATGGCGAATTTCAGATCTTCTTCCAGGCCCCCCCCCCAGCGGACTCGCCAACAGTGCGTTGGGCGCTCCGTGGGCCCCCGCGCCACTTGCATGGCCATTCGACGACCTCGGCCCCTGCGATTCCCATGGGTCTCAGTTGGGCGTCTGGTGGACTAAGGTCGCCACTTGCCTCGGGGGCTCCCTGGTGCCCCGCGCGGTTCAAGTCCGGGGAGATGCAGCCAATGGGGTAACGTCCCTTTCAAGATCATATTTCTTCTCGAACGAAGATGTGCGCTGGGCCTGCCTCGGCGCATCGCCCGACCGCGTTTTTGCCCTGCGCCAGTGGCGCAGGCGCTGCTGAAGCGGGCGCGCCGCGCTGCGCGCGCCGAATCCCGGAGGGGTGCCAAGGAGACAGAGACAGATTGGAAGCACGGGATCGATCGTGATTCCGAGCTCGGCCCCGCGCTCGCATTTGTCGCTGCCCACTGCGCGGCGACCCTCGCGCGCGGAGCACGGCGCGCGCCGTCCAGCTACGTCGCGCGAAGAAGCGCCGGCACCCCAAAGTGAACGGGAAGGCTCGCGGCAGAGATCATCTCATCATCCTGAGCTCGTGCGGCCCCTTCGCCTTGCTGACCCCCCTGCTCCCCGCGCCATCGGGCAGGTAAAGGTCGCGCTAGAAATCCTTGAAAGGCCCCGCTGGAACAAGTTGTTTGATCAAGTTTCGCCCAGACATTTCCTTCTCCTACCCGATGAAGCGCTAGGCATACTATGCATTACAACTGGAGCCATTGAAAAGCATGCAGGGCGCCCCCCAGCGTGGATGTGAAAAGTATTTGTCGTCGAGAGGTTGGGTCGCGAGCGCCCCTCGGGGCCCCTTCGTGCGCTGCGCAGGATTCAACGCAGGGGAAGGAGGTGTCTCGCGCATGCTTGACAGAAGGAATATTTCACATTTCCAGCGCCAGTTAATGGGGGGTTATTTCGAGATGCGCGTTTGATTTTCGAGCGCCTGGTCTGAGCACTCCACGGTTAAAGCCCCCCCACGCGCGCGCCAGCCTGCGACTCGCAGACTTTTCAACGCGGTCGCGGCCGCGCTTCGCCGCGTCAGCGCGATGGCCAACTCCGTATCTGAGTGGACTTCCCCGCGGGATGTCACTCTTGACCCCGCTAACACACGCGTGAGTTTTGCGCGCAGATTGGTCGTGCGCGCGTGCTACATGTGGCCATGTAGCCGAGTAGCCATGTAGCCGAGTAGCTGAAACGATTGTTCCCTTGGGTTTTCCACGGGAATGGTCGTCCAGCCCGCAGCTTGCGCTGTGAAATCAAATGCCCTCCCTGAGCAGCGGGCCCACTTGCGCTTGCGTTATGTGCGAGGGTCACGGCCCATGCGTCGTCGTCGGTCTGCTGGCTGCGATGTTGAGTGGTTTTTGCTTTGCCCCGCGCGCGTAGATGCGCGTGGAGATGAGGTGGCAGCCGCGCTGCGTGCGAGTGCACCCAGATAGATGACGCGTCTGTTCCTCCGTTTCTCCAGGGCCTTAGCACCGCCGCTGTCGGCTCTCCTCTTGCTCCTGCGATGGCCGAGCGTCGTTTGGCCCCGCCTCCCCGGGCTGCTGATCCAGATCTGTCTGGAGCGCACGCTGAATATTTGTTTATGGGCTCCCCCATCGAGCTTTTGGGAATTTGGCCGCTGTTGCTCTCGTACGCTTTGCGCGCGATCCGCGTTGCCCTGCTCGCGGGCCCTTGGTAGAGCGCCTCCCCACCATCGACGAAGCTGAACTTGCTGCTGTGTGCTTTGCGCTTCGCCATGCCATGCCTGGCGGCGTCTTTCATACTGGCAGCGATTAAGCTTGGAAAGGCTTGTACACGTGAGCTCGCGAGGATTGCTGTCATCTTCTCGCCTCTTATTCTGCTATTCTGCGTGCAGTGGCGATTGATTCTGGGCCGTGGTGAAGATGTTGCTGGCTTGGTTGTGAAGATAATGCGCGCCCTCGGCTCCAGGACTTCCGCGACGGCCGCGCAAGTCAGGGTCTGAATGTTGATGACATTATGTCAGATCGGTTCGCCAAGTGGGTTGCACGAGCCTCTCGCGTTCCCAGGGCTCACCTACAGGCAATTCAGAATCGCACCCGCATCCTCAGAGCCAGGTGCAAGTGGGTAGCCAGTTTTGGGGATGGCGACGATACTTTCCATCCGTCCCAGGTGAAACGTGGTCGCCCTCCCCAGCGACCCTCACCCGTGTTAGTGGTTCTACTCTTTCCGTGTTGCAGCGCGCAGTTGCCCTCTCTCGTGCTTTCCGGGACGATGGACGCAGGACGCGCATCTCTCTCTCTCTCTCTCTCTCTCTTTCTCTCTATCTCTCTTTCTCTCTTTCGTGTGACGTTGGGTTCATTGTTTGTTCGTCGTGCGGTGCGATTTGCTCCGGTCGTCTCGCGGCTCTGTCGTCGCCGCGTTATTCTCAGCGACCGAAGTGGTCAGAGAAGATATGGAACAGGCTCCGTTGGGGAGAGAGCGTGAATCGGAGGAGGAGGAGGAGGGAAGGGAGGAGCAGGAGGTGGCCGAGAATGAAGAAGAGCATGACGACGAGGGTCGACGGGGGGGGAGGAGGAGGAGGAGGAGGGAGGAGGAGGAAAAGGAGGAGAGAGGAGGAAAGGAGGAGGAGGAGAGGCGGGAAGGAGGAGGAGGAGGAGGAAAAGGAGGAGGAGGAGGAGGGGACATGCCGAAAAGCAGCCGATGGGGCAACGAAGAAGGATTGGCCTCCCGCGTTCGGGTTCCAGCGTGCTCGGCGCAGGACAGGAGGGGGGGGTTCTTCGGCCTTTGAGGCCGCGGGGGGAACAACAGTATTTGTTGGGGGAGCGGGACCAATCGACCTCCTAAGAGCAGTGGACAGTTCGACTGTTCCGATTCGATTCGATGTCGATGTCTTCCGACCCCGTGTCGATTCGTTTTGACATTCCCATATGGGTTCTGTTTTCTGAGTGGAAGCCTTACTGGCTTACCGACTTCCGCCGGTTTGACTTTTCCCGACTTGGCTGCCGTTTTCCGCCGATCCGGTTCATTTCGATTCCCGATCCGTCGTATCGATTCGATTCTCGCCCCAGGAGTGGGGATGAGGAGGAGGAGGAGGAAGAGGAGGAAAAGGAAGAAACATATGAACATGAAGAGGAAGAGGAGAGATGGTTTGGGGGGAGGAGGAGGAAGAGGAGGAGGAGGAGGACCTGTGCAAACCCAAGAGTTACCAACGAGGTTGGAGTACACATTCCCTCGAAGCTCCCTCTTCGTAGGCCCCTACAGGAGTTCATTTCCACTGAGGATAATGCGCTGTTTGGGGACATCCGTGTAAAAATATTGACCCGTTCCAGAAAAACCATTGCCAGGACTTCAACGCCACGAGTCAACCTGACGGTTACGTCTTGACGATCCTGAATCGTGCCAGAATGCCGCTCGTGGGACGTCAACACCGCGAATCAACATAATTGTTGCGCCCTGACCTTACTGATGCGCTACAAAACACCACTTCTAGAATATCAACCGTGAGAACCCGAGAAACTCATGCGGTTTGTTTAGGCGAATGTATGCGGCGCCAAGGCGAAATCTATAGTTCGGAAACGGCCCGCCCTCCGTCCATGAAGCTATTGCAAGTTTTTCATCGAATGCGCGCGGCGCTCAGGCGATAACCACATTTTGAAGAACGAATCGTCCTCACTTCGTGAATTTCTACTACACTGTTACGACGAGTGTATGCGGCGCTAAGGCGAGAGCCACATTTTGAAAGCGACCCGCCCTCAATCCGCGAAGCCCTCATAATATTTTGATATTCATGTGCGCAGCGCGAAGGCGAGAGTCACAGTTTGAAATCGACCCGTCCTCCATCTGTGAAGCTGGTGGCATGTTTTCAACGGCAGGTTCATACATGGTCAGAAAGCCTCAGGCAAAACGCCCGGCCCGCCCTTCCGTCTCGGTGCGACAGGGTGGAGTTGCTCGTAAGGAAAAGGAATGGAGAGGAGGAGGCGGAGGAGGACGAGGAGGACGAGGAGGAGGAGGAGGAGGAGGAGGAGGAGGAGGAGGAGAAGGTGGAGGAGGATGGAGGAGGACGGAGGAGGAGATGGAGGAGGTGGAGGAGGGGGAGGAGGGGGTTCAGGAGGAGCGGGTCCAGTCGAGACCACGGCGGCCGTCCCTGGTGGCGTCCGCCCTCTTCTGGGCCTCGTGAAGACATCCCGTGGCTAATGGGCGGGTCCGCTTCGGAAAACGGGCCACGCTGGATCCGGGAAGCGGCCTGGAGGTGGAAGGAAAGCCGTGCATTAAGCGGGGCTGACGAGGATAAGCCCAGAACGCTCTGAGAAGGCCGCGGCCGCCGAGACCTCCGCCGGAGCCGCTGCATTCCAGAGAGTCGTTCGTTGCATCCTTAGCCGATTGTATCCTCGTCCTGGCCTCGTCCCAAAGGGTTTGGAGGCAGAAGAGGGCCGCGTACGATCCGATTCGATGCGATTCGATTCGCCGGCTGGGGCCGCGATTCCGAGTCGGTTCGGTTCGGTTCAATTCATCGGCATGGGCGGGGGCAGGCTGGAGCCGGGCGCGGCGATCCGAGTTCGATTCGGTTCGGGACGATTCGATGGCGACACGATCCGATGTCGCGATGAGGTCCAGCTCAGGCCCGTCAGGGGGAGCGGGTCCAGTCGAGGCCACGGCGGAGCTGGCCCTCGGGTGTTGCCGCCTTTTTGGGCGCCTCCTGGAGGCTTCCCGTTGCCACGGCGGGATCCGCTTCGGAAAACGGGTCAGGACGGACACCAGTGGGAGTCCGCGGACACACATTGAGCGGATCTTGCCAGGCGGGAGGTTCACCGTCGTTTCAACTGATCCTCCGCGGAGTCAGGAGGAGTGGGGATGAGGAGAAGGATGGTATGAACGTGGTGCGTTCCAGTAGGCAAGGTTGGACTGACTGGGCAGTGCCCCTCGGTAGCATTGCTTGCTTTTGTGCACGCCTCCTTTCTGCGGTGACTCTCCGCACCGAGAAAGTGCAACTTCTGTGGGCGCTCCAGGCCTGGGGGGTGTCCTGACGACGACGACGACGACGACGACGACGACGACGACGACGACGACTACGACGACGATGGCGACGGCGACAGCGACAGCGACAGCGACAGCGACGGCGACGCCGACGTCGGCGGCGACGGCAACGGTGACGGCGACGGACGGTCGTCATCTGCCTTTGGTCGTAGTCGTCTGTCGTGTGCGTCGTCATCGTCGTCTGCCGGCTCGCCACGAGGGGGCGGGGAGTCGCCCACACCACCTACCCCGCCTTTCGAGGGGGCGGTGAGGGCTCTCGCCAGAAGGACTGGGCGGGGGCAGGGCCAGTTTCGGAGGAGAAAGGGGTGACGTTGCCGAGGTGCGGTAGCCAGGCTGGCTCTTGCAAGTGGGGTGGTGGTGTTTGTGTGTGTGGGGGGGGGGAACATGTTGCGAAGCACGGCGCCCGTGAACGCCATCTCTCCAGCACGATTCTGCGGGCATGATCATGAGGAGAAGGAAGAAGAGGAGGAGGAGGAGGAGGAGGGTAAGGAGGAGGAGGAATTATGAGATGGAGGGGGAAGAGGTGGATGATGTAGAGAATCCTCCTCGCCCATCCTACCTCCTCGGAGTCGCCAGCGCAATGTACATCGGTAACATCTCGCCCGTGTCCCGGGAAAATTCCGGCAATGGGGCACAACAAGTAATCACGACGCCTAATTTCATTCATTTGGCCGCCTCCTTCTGTGTCCCTGCCACCCCCCCAGGCCTTCCCCTCTCCTCTTCCTCCTCCTCCTCCTCTTCCTTCTTCTTCCTTCTCCCCCCTGCTTCCCGTCCCCCCCTATCCCGCCGACGGGGCGCGGGAAAGGAGGAGTTCTGCGTCTCTGCGCCCATCTCGCTGCCGCCGAAGGAGTCCGAGCGGCTGGCAGGAGCCGCTGCCCCCCCCCCTTCCGCTTGCTCGAAGGAGGTAGAGGGAGGAGGTAGGAGGAAGAGGACCAGTGTAAACCCACGACTCTTCAGTGGCCCCACAAGAGTTCATTTTCACTGAAGGAGTTGCCCCGTTAGAAGACACCGTTTGAAAATCTCGAACTGCGGCAAAACACCTTCCATGGGACTTCAACGCCACGAATCACCGTTACTGTTGCGTCTTCACGGTCCTTGATCGTGCCAGAACATTATTTCTAAGACTTCAGCACCCCGAATCAAAGTCATCGCTACGGCCTGACAGTCTGACATCGCGCCCACAAAAAACATTGCTTCTGGGACGTTAACCATTCGAATCCTTGGAGCTGCTGAACACTCAAAACGAATGTGCGTAGCGCTCAGGCGAGAGCCACATATTGAAAAACAGCTGCCCTGCATACATGAATCTGTCGCACATGTTTGAGACGCATCAGCGCGGCGCTAAGGCGAGAGCCACATTTAGAGCAGGAGCCTCCTTCCACTTGTGAAAAACATGCAAGTTGTTGAGACGAAATGTGTGCGGCGCTCAGGCAAGAGGAGTCACATGTTGGAAACGGTCCGCCCTCCATCCATGAAGCTCTTGCTAATGTTTCGACGAAAGCGCGCGGTGCGAAGGTGAGAGCTTCATGTTGAAAAGGAGCCGCCTTCCATCCGTGAAACTCATGCAAGCTTCGGAACATGATGTTGCGCGGCGCACCAGCGAGAGCCAGAATCTGAAAGCCACCCGCCCTCCAACCGTGATCTTCTGGCAACTGTTCAGCTTAAGGATCGTAAGTGGTTCGAAAGTCTCTGGCGAAACGCCCGGCCCGCCCTACTGACACGCCTGGGGGTGCGACAGGGGAGAGTTGCGCATACAGAAAGGAGTGGATGAGGAGGAGGAAGGAGGAGGGAGGAGGGCTGGAGGGAGGGAGGGAAGAGCGGGAGGCGGAGCGGGGGGGTGGGCGAGATAACTCGGGGATAACTCTGCAAGGAGGGGCAGAGCCTTGCCCCGCCGCCTCAAGTTCGTGGCTACGTACACAGGTCGAGTGGTCAGCAATCCTGCCTGCGGCTCAGATGACGTGCGGTACGTACAGGGGGGGGGGGGCGGACACAAGGAGGAATGAGACGGGGGAAAGGGGATTGGAGGAGGGAGGAGGGATCAAGGTGGAAGAAGGTGGAGGGATGAGGAAGAGGGAGGAAGAGGAGGAGGATGAAGGACGAGGGACGAGGGGTTCAAACAGGAGAGGGGGGGGAGGACGAGGAGGAGGAGGACGAGGAGCAGGAGGAAGAGGAGGAGGAGGAAGAGCAGGAGGAGGAGGAGGGCGCGGGCTGACCGTGTTGGTGTGGACGCCAGCGGGATTGTCGGCCATGCTTCATCCGGGGAGCTCCGTGTCGGCCATCGGTCACGGGATGGAGGGTAAGTGGAGGGGAGGGGGAAGAGGGAGAAGTTCCTCTCTCTGCTTCTCCCTCCCCTCCCTCCCTGTCCCCCCCTCCTTCGCCACCCCCTCGCTCTCCCCATCCGCCTCTTTCCTATGTCCCTCAGTAGCTCTTCCTCATTGCCCTCCCCCGCCCTATTCCCGCACCGTCCTCCCTCTCCTCCTCAATCGTTTTCTCGTCCACATCCTCTTCCCATTTCTCCCCCCTTGCTATCTGCCTTCCTCTCCTGCATCTCTCCCTGCTCCTCCTCCTCCTCGTGGTCTGCCTCCCCTCCCTCTTTGCCATGCCTCGCCCTCCACCCCAACCCCATCCTCCCCCATCGCCCTCCCCCTCCCGCCCCATCGCATCCCCCATCATGTCCCCGTCCACCCTTTCTCCTTGCCCATCCTCCTCTTCCCCTCCTCTCCTCTTCCTCGTCTTGGCCCTTCTCCTCCTCCTCGCCCGTCCTCCTCGTCCTCCTCTTCCTCCTCCTCCTGCTGCTCCTTCTCCTCCTCCTCCCCCTCCTCCTCAGAAACAACAACTACACAATATGCAAACAACCTATACGACCACTCTCCGGGTGATAAGGAGGTTGGTGGGTGGAGGGAGAGTAATTAACTGCTGGCAAATGCGATGGGTGTGATGGTGGCGACTCTGATGGCGCGCCATCGAGTTAGCGACAACGCATGATGACTACGTTGTGGTTGCGATGTAATGCCACTTTCGTTCTCACCGCCGACCTTGCTCTCGGCCTCAGGATTGATCTCACTACTACCAAGCCCTCCTATCGACCGCACTACCGATCTCACAACCAATGGCACAATCAACATCGCTGTCGATCTCACGTTCTATATCAGTATCCATCCCGTTGTAGCGATCTCCTCATCGATCCCACTATCGACTTCACTATCGATACCACGGCGGGGCACCACCGGCCACCGCAGGCCCACCGCCGACGGAACACCGATGGGACACCAACGGGACATCAACAGGACACCACAGGACACCACGGCGGGACACCCTGGGCCACCGCGCGCCCACCGGGGGCGAAGGGGCGGCCCACTGCATCCGAATCGCCCTAGCGACGGCGGGGTCATTCCTCTCGCGCGCCCACGCAGCTTCGCCTGGCCCGCACGCACGACACGAACACGAAACCGAAACCAATATCCTGCTGGGGGCTCTCCTTTCCATTGCGATTTCCCCCCCCAACCTCCGACTCTCCCTTTTCCCCCCTGGCTCCGTCCTGAAGATAGCGGGCCCTCTCCGTTTACATTTTTGTCACCAGATCTCAGCACATGATTATAAGCCTTCGGCCCACCCCACCACCGTCGATGGTTGTGGGGCAGAATCCTCAAGGATGCGTCGTGGGGGCTCTTCGGAGCGCCACAAGGGGCCTCAGGGGGCAAGTTTTGGGCCTTTTAGGGGCCTGTGGAGGGCGCGTTGGGTGCCTATTGGGGGCCTCTTGGGGGTTTCCTTGGGCGCCTCTTGGGTCCTCCTGGGGGCCTCTCGGGGCCGAGGGCCCCCTCTTGGAACCCTCTTGTGCCGTTTTGGGGCCCTCTCGGACTATTCGGGAGCCCTTTTAGAGGCCTCTTCGGCTGTCTTGGGATGAACTTGGGAACCTCTTGGGCTTTCTTAGAGCGTCTGGAAGCCGAGAAGGCGAGATCGCGAAGATGTAAAAAGGTAATTGAGGAGAAATCATTGTGTTTGTCTTTTGGATCCTTTTTTGGGGTGTTGCTGGGGCCCCCTGGAGCTTATTGGGTGCCTTTTTTCTGGCAGCCTTGAGGCCTTCTCGGGCGCCTGGGAGCGATGATGGGGCGACTTGGGGCCCTCGTGGAGCATCTGGGCGGCCTCTGGGGGCTTTCTTGGCCGTTTTGGGGCCCTCTTCGCTTCCAGAAAACGCACGCGACACACCCTAGGAGCTCCTGGACAACGGGGGGTCTGGTCCCTCAATAGCCTTACGAACCCTTTACCTCCCTGGGCGGCAGGAGCCTTGGGGCATTCCCATTCGTGCCAGAGGCGCGGTGGCGGATCCGGATGGTTTTTCGATGCGGCTCCGGCTGTTTTCGGTGTTACAGAATCGTGCTCCCGCTTAGCGTGGTCGGCGCTTTGATTTAGTCGTTCAAAGCAGTGCTCTCGCCCCAGTACGGGCTACTTTTCTGGACCCGAGTTTTCTTCACTGTTGTCAGCGAAATCCCCTTCATTCCTCCTCCTCGGCCTTCCCCTCCGGCTTATGCTGCTGTTGTTCGTCTGTTCTTCCCTGTCCTTTTCCTCCCGCTCATCCTCCTGCTCACCCGCCACCTCCTCCTACTCCTCCTTCTCCTCCGTAGCCATTTTGGCTCAAGATGTTTTTTGCCCGTGGCAGAGCACGGATACCGTTAATCCGCGGCTGGCTTTCGTTTCTCGGCTTGTCCGCCCAGGTTTGGATCGGGGCGCCGCAGCATGTCGACTCCCTGGCCATCGCCTTGTCGGGCGAGGGTCAACTGAGGAGCTCCCAGCCCCTTCTTTTGTCAATGCGGACGTTTGGCGTACGAAGGAGAAGAAGATCAAGAAGGATTGAAAGGATGTGCTCGCAACTCCGAGGTGGTCAAAAAGAAGGATGATTCCGATTCGTCCGTGGACTCGGTCTCCCGCACCCCGCCGCGGTCTCCTGGTGCTCGTCCGCGGCGCAATGATGCTGGGCGTCGGCCAGATGTGGACGATGAAGAGGCTCCCGTTTTAAACAATGTCGACTACAGCATCCTCAGGCAGCTGGACCTTGCCTGCACCTTCCCTGATGATGAAGTCGGGGGATGCCCCACCTGATGCTACGATGGAGGTCGGCCCCCAGTAACCATTACCAGTTCCTTCCGCGCCCCCTCGTGCAGCTGATAGAGTGGCCGGTGGTGCTTGCGGAGCGGCTGACCCTTGCATGCGGCCAGCGATTGCCCAGATCGTGCGCGAGACCAGAGTCAGGAGTTCAGCAAGTTCAAGGCGGAATGCATCGGGGAGCTCACCAAGGGAGTGGTGGCCTCAGTTGAAGCTGTTCTACCCTGCTCGATCGCGAGCAGTGCCGAGCCTCTGCTCAATGGCATCGAGAAGAGGATGGCCTGCCTCTTCGACGCGATCATGGCGCAGCTGTCAGCTACAGACGAGAAGGTGGCAACCTTGGAGAACAATCAGAATGACCTGGCCAAGAGGTTGGAGCGCCTGGAGAAGGTCTTCGACTTGGCTCGCGCAGACCCGCGGATCCCTGTGGCCAGGTCGGCCGACTGGGATCGGCCCACGGACCACGCCGTCTTCGCCATCAGCGCGAAGCAGGCTATCTCGGTCAGCGAGCTGGCGGACGCGCTGCAGCCGTGGCTCGAGGCGCGCGACTGCCAGCTTGGACGGGGGTGCCGACTCGAGGGCCCCCAGCGGTCGAGGAAGTTCGCGCTGCGTTTCGGCGTCAGCGAGGGCGTGACGCGCCTCGCGGCGGAGGCGCGCGTGCGCCATGCGCACTCCTGCCTGCGCGGGGGGCCCGGCAGTTGGCGTCGGTTTCGGACGGTCCTCCCCGGCGACCGAGCGGTGGAGATCTTGGCGGGCCTGGGCGAGACC